GAGTCATCTATTGACTTTCTGCAGGGAACGATCGCTCAAACACTACACATGTGCGAGTATAAATGAGACACTTCTTGATGTGAGCATATAAATATAATATACAGATATGCATATGTACCTCAATTTCTTTATTTGGTTTTTTCAATCAACTATGTTATGTACATATATACATACACATAAATATGTATACATAGGTAAACAGTTGTGCACAAATACCTAAATTATTTGAGATGTATCTTTATTTTTTATCGCAAAAGATACCTTAATAAGAGTCTAACATTTCCGTTATCAACTCACCGGCACGCACGGTGTTCAACTTATCCGGGGGACGAAGGCCGAATTTCAAGAAGTTAATTTGGACTAACGACTAAACTGGAGAGATGATATAGTTCAAAGACACGAGAACGCTAATAATGCTCTCTATACATGCAAAAGAGCAATAGGCAAGATATGGGGCCTAAGCACTAGGGATTGCGACGGGATCCATGTATCATTAGAAAAAACAACGTTTCCTTATTGAGCGAATATGGGGGCCAGCTATAAATATAGCTTTAAATGTTGGTTTTATAGATGAAATTCAAAGATATGCGTTCATATGTATGTGTGGTGCAATACGGAGTCTGCAAAAAAATAGGTACTAAGTGCAATACTCAATATCTTTTCAATGAACCTGGTGGTTTATCAGTAAGCAGCAATTAATTTTATATCAAGCTATATAAATCGAGGCGTTCCAAATACTTTTATGACTAAAAATTTCATTCAGAGCAAAGAAGAAAGGAAAGGTAATTACCACACTTCGAATTGCAGCCATGAAATATAAACCGATAGATCAAAGCCTGAGGGGCGTATTGGCGGTGGTCTATTGACAAGAAACTCTCCAATGGAATTCTTTTTTGGCTTGCTGACAATAGCAGTTTCTTTCAGGTGGAGATTTCTGCTATTCTGAATGCATCATATCAAATCAAAGCATGCTTTAAAGATGACCATATCTTCTTTTTCGCAGCAGTCATGCAGCAATAAGATCTCTAGGCTCGCTTATGGTATAATACAACATTGTGCTGGACTGCCCCCGATCTCTACAGTAAGTGGCCAAACGGAACATATTGTCTCGTTCGTAGGTCCCTGGTCATAAGGGCATCGGGGGACCCTGTAAGGTAGATGAACTTGTTAGGCAAGGTCCAACAAGTAGATTCTTCTCAATAAAGAACGCATTGGTATACCTTTTGCCACTTGCAAGCCGCTTCTCCCGGAATTTACATATAAACAGGCTGCGTCCAATGAAACTGCAATCTAGCCAAAGGCCAATATGGCATAAGAAAAGATCACAAGAGGGGTCAGGTCCATAGTAGCAGGAGTCCTGACAGGACACTTTATGATAGGACGACATGCAGAGATACTGGGTGTTCTCTATAGGAGATGCGGTAGAAGCTGCAAAGGTTATGAGGAGGATGAAACGTTCACCCATCTTTTATGCATCTGTCCAGCATTGGGCAATGCTAGGTTTCGGAATTTTGGGACCCTGTGGGATGGTGTACTGAAGATAGTTGACGTTAAATTCATGAATCTAATAAGGTTCATTAGATAATAAAAAATATTGAAACCTAATAGTAAAGTTCTTGTGACATCGCAATGACTCTTTAAGTGTAATCAATGCGATAGATCGGATTCCACCCAACCTACTTGTTGACACCATAAGTCTCATATTCGACCGTCAGTACAATCAAAAGATTAAAACGAAATGAATAATTATGAATACCTAACTTACAATATATTGGAATATTAACCACATTGTTAGTTTCTACAAAGTTTTTTTTTAAATGTTACTAAAGAAAAATTTTTTAAACTGTTGTATAATAATTAAAAGTGTTTACGAGAATGAGAAAAATTAATATCTATACAATTTTTATGTTTTCATTTTTTCTTACACCCGTAGATATATACACCTCCCCTGCTCTAACAGTGCATGTGAACAGTTAAGTTGGGCTTAAATGTATTATTTTTCAGAAATGGCAAAAACACGAAGTTTTTTTGCTGTGGAAAATCCGCTCAGGAACAATATGTTCTATACAGAGCAGTGCTATCTGTAATTGGCAGGTAGCCATAAAGTGTCCGCCAAGCTTTGAATGATTTTCCATCCATCAAAATTTTATCTTTTTTCTAACAAATACTAAGTACACTGTAAAGATATTACATGTGCTAAAAGCAACAAAAAGAGGTTATTCATTAGCACCAATTCCAACTTTGTGGTGTCCAATTCAACATACAAACATAAGTGGATTTTAGGATGTTAGTTTTTTTCTTGCAAGGGCCTTCAAGTTTCCGTGAGACTATGCACTTCTAAACATGTTAAAAGTAGATATCTGCATTTTAACATCTTCAAATTTCATTTCCCAGTCCTTCTATGAGGGTATTAACACAAGTTCCATTAGTTGGTGACTTTCAATTTGTTTTTGTTAAATCTAATTATTCCTTAACAATTCCTTTATTAGTCTTCCTTCTCAATTGTAGAGCGATCGTTTAAAACGGAGACGAGAATCGGCATATTCCATCACCAACGCAAACTGAAATTCTCTTCGGATTTCGGCGTAATTTACACTCAATGCCATGGCTGTATCGCGAATATTAAGGAATCACCTGATATACACGAAGAAATCTGCACGGTGGATACCACGAGTTTTAAAAGAGGTCCAAAAAGATGCTCGAGTGCACTTTGATTAATTTTTCCTAAACTAAGTCGTTACTGGTGACGAATCCTGCTTTTATAAGTACGATACAGAAACCAAACAGCATTCTATGGTATGGAGCCCAACAGGAGCAAAAACCACCCGTAAAATCTAAGCAACAAAAATTAGCAGCAAAAGTAATGATGCCAGTTTACTTCCCCCATCTAAAATCGTAGCTGCTATTCCACTAGAAAAGGGTCAGACGGTAACTGCAAAATGGTACACCAAAGAGTGTTTACCCAAAGTTTTAAAAAATTTGTTCGAAAACAGAAAGAAAGAGGTTTTTTTGGCGCTACATGTTACATCATGACAACGCGCCAACCCACACTACTGAAATACCCTCAGCACCATATTCCCCGGATAAAGCACCTTATGATGTGGTTATTTCCAAAAATTAAAAAAAAGTTGAAAGAAAAGATCTTTAATAGCAATGAGCAGATAATTAATGCGGTTAATGCTTAACTTGATAGATGAAGATAAAAAAGAACAAAAATTACGAATAAATACAAAAAGATTTTTTTTTTCTGGCAACTTACTGATCTTTTGTTAATCCCCTCGTACTTGATCGCAAATTAAATTTTTCAAGCATGTGACCAGATTTAATTATAAATATGTTTTACTGAGAAACTTCCTTAGTAATAAGTATTAAAATTTACAAACAGGTTACTACAATTTTTTCTATCTCGTTATTTTGATACTCATATTGTAATCAATCTTCGTAATAAATGCTTTTAAAAACATTTTCGGGCCAAGTCTTTCTTAAATGTTTTCTTAATTCCTTCGTGTTTAAAATTTTGTGAAGGTGACAGGCAACCAAAAAAAGGGGCGGCGGGTGTCGGGGGTTCGAACCCCGTCTGAAATTATTGCAAATAAGGCAGATACAAAGTTTTATTTAATATATAAAAAATATTATTTTCCATAACTCAATTTTGTTATATCTTCTCTTGTGTAGTATCATGAGCTTATTACCCTATAAACAGTACTTTTTTTAACGTAATTTATCTATTCCCTGCAGAAAATGTATATCATTAAGGGCCGTCGAGTGGCTGCTAAAATGTAACTTCTCTTTAAACGCGTTAACGTTTTCTCAACTGCCTGTTTTAGTTTGTGGATGTTAAAATTAGCAAGCGGTCAAAGCACTGATTAACAACTTCTTGCGGCAGCGACATCTGGTCTTTTTACAAACAGAAAACAGCTGACAGCTGAATCTCTTCAGCTTAATACTTAAATTGTGATCTTTTATTTACTTTAACACTTTTTTCAAAAAAAAAAAAATTTTCAATGCTCTAATATGTTCTTGAACACACACTCAGAACACGGTACAGCCATTGAACTCAAGACTCAAGGAGCAGTTTAGTCGCAAACACACATACGGAAAATTTATATACTTAAGAAAATTTATGATGCCACCACGTCCCATTTCGTGAAAACCTTAAGTTGTAAAGTAACACCAAAATCGTGAACTTAAATTTATATATATGATGTATAATCTTAGAGGCAAGGTTAAATATGAAAATAAAATGCTGCAGTTTTCTTATAATTTCTCTTAGAAAAAACAAATCATTCGAAAATAAAATATGTAAATGGAATATGTAAGTTGTAATCTGTATGGAAAATGTATCGCCTTTATACGAATGTGGATATACACTTATATTTGAATACATCTTCGTTCCAATCTTCATATTTAATTTAGGGCAATCCACTTTAACCGAAATAAACCCGTACACTTAAAGTATCGCAAAACTCATTTTATGGAAAGTTGTCATGTTTTTCATCGATTTTCAATTTCCTTATAGTGTGGGATAGAAGCTATTGCTATTGTTTGGGATTTTAGTAAATATAAACACTTTTAAGCGGAGTTTTCTTTCTTATATTCTGTGTGGTTCAATATCGACTTTTAGATGACACAATTCGCAAAACAGGCTCATCAGAAGATACTATCGATTCTAATTTAAAGCTAAGGCATTTTATCAATGAGAGTCGAAGTTTGGCAAACTTATAAAGCTTTTTTTAGAAAAGAAATTCTGAAAACTGATTCACAAAAGAATATCGTCTCATTCTAACGAAGAGTTATGTTCTGGCGGATACGAAGAAAGTACGTAAAGGGTGTTTTTTTAGACGTGTGACATTCAATGAGGCAATACTTTTTCGAGGTTGGTCTTTTTGACAGCTGTTACTTGATTTATATCATGTTTGGTTTACTATTTCATAACGACTAGACCTACTCCGGAGTAACTTTTGCAGAATATTGGATCGGTTCAAGTGCTCAGAATAGTTGGCTGAATGGGTATTGTAACGTAATTGTCAAGAAGTCCTAATTGCGACGTCATTACATCTTCAAATAGTCACTGGTTGGTGGCTCTTTGGGCAGAGGGAATTACTGATTCACATTTCTTCATGACTGAATTGGAGAATGTTGATGTGACCGACCGTTGGCTCCTAGAAAACCGCTCTACATGCCATACAACGAAAGAAATCAATTTGTAGAAGGAAACTTTAGGTGAGTACATTATCTCTTGTCGCTGGACGCTCGTTGCGTCTTGATGTTTTCAGTTTCACAGTTTACACTAAGTCGCCTCCCAGCAGCTGATGGTTTTTTCCTTACACTAAGTCGCCTCCCAGCAGCTGATGGTTTTTTTTTTGTTGGAATACACTCGGAGGGGTTAACATTACCTGCCGTGGGGCGACCGCAATTAGAAAATTTAGCACGAGATTTCGAGCTCGAGCCTTCCGAATGGCAGTACGCAATGATAACCACTCGGTTACCGCGGTCGCCAAATTTTATTTATAATAAAGCTAAACTCTCGACCATAACATTAAAATAAAATAGTTTATTTCTTCTTGAAAACCAAAGCAAACCCCTGATAAAAACTAAATATTTTACATACATTCATTCAAGCTAGCCATTTCGTCATTTTTATCCGCTCGCGTTCCGCAGAAACGTTTTCAGACGTATTCCTGAAAAGGTTCTTTCTTTTGCTTGTAGTGCGACAGAAAAGCGTTCCTGGCTACATTTCCTCCATGTAATAAAATTTAACTCAGGTGGGAAAGTCTTCTACAGGTTCAATGTTACTAATAAGTCTAATCTAGATGACTATAAAACTATCCGGTGGATTTGAATACTTGGACAATGCTTAACAGGTATTTTTGACAGATCACAAATTAGTATATATAATAGATGCTTTGTAACCGTATAGCAATTTTAGGTTAGTTTGGTAAACGTTTTGTTGCTTTTCTAACAATTTTAGAGATCTACAATTTAACTAAACCGTCTCTGAACACTATCAGAAATACACTTGGGCGGCTTGACGCCGTCTCCGCTGGACTACCGCAAACAGAAAAATTTCTTTTCTATAATTTTGGATTTTGGTCAAATTGGGACTCGAACCCTGGTTTTTCAGGATGGATTACGCATTGCTAATCATTAATAAATTGAAGATTTATTAAGACTCTGCTCAGCTACGAGTGAAGGCATGACAGAGTTTCTGCTCTTCGTTCAAAACCTTTATGGGAAATAAAAGCAATGCTTCCACCAAGAAATATTAACTATCGAATATCGAACGGCTGTGGGATTTTTGTGAGAAGCTATTATTTTCATACGTGAAATACATTTGTAGCACTTGACATTATGCTCGTCCTCCTGGCATTTAGAATACATTTCTTTTAATATTGAACATGTTGGTCAGCGTACGGTTAGTCTTCGCCTATTTATCTAATGTATCTTCGATTAATAAGTTGTTTATCTCGAATACATCTTATCCTTGATGAATCTATCTAGTTTCGTTTCTTATGTCTATTCATGTATCAGATGAAATTAATAAGATCATTTCATATCCTTGAAAGGTGTGGCACTGAAATAATATAAAAATTTTATTAATTTCTTCTTATTTTTTTCATACACTTAATTTTTGTTTAAATTAATTTTAATTCCGCTGCAGAGCATTTGAAGAGTTACAGAGTTAAGCTCGTATTTACTCGTATTTTTTATGTAGACTTACATACATACACATGCCCTTTTATATATATATATATTTCCTAAGTTAAGTCCAACAGTCCAATGTCCAATTTTAATGACTTTATGTGTTGTTATTCTCATTACAAAAGAGAATACATTTATTTATTTAAGTAAACACAAATGAATTTATTGTAAATATATATATGTATGTATATTATAGGGGTATTGTTTACACATTTATAATATTATATATTTGCGATGACGTTAACGACACTTGAACTAGTTAAAACCTTACTAATCAATTATACAAACAAATTAGAATCACGTACAGTGACTGTTAGTTGTAAAGATGTTTTTTTAAGTAGGGGGTCAGTGGTGGGATTCAATATCTTCAATAACTTAGCGATAATTTGAACGATATTAACAAATGTTAATGTGTTTGTGTGAATGTTTCGACAAAAGATTGATATTTTATTGAGATTAATGTGAAGTAAATTATGTCGGTAAATTACGTAAGCTACATAAAAACCAAAAGAGAATAATAAAAATGGCTTTTGGGTATTTGGCATATCGTTTCTAAATTTAAATATGTACCAGTCGTCAGTAAGCCGTTATAACCGCTCAATGTTTTTTGCGAAGGTCATATTTCCCATTTTCCACCCAGAGTCCCAGAAATACTGCTCTTTACAATTTCGCATAGATATGGGATCCTATCTCAAGATTTTGACGGTAAATGCTAAGTACCCAGTAGCGCGGCATTGTTTTTTATTTGGGGTTTCGCTATAGTTTTCGCTAACATCGGTTGTCGATTGTTGTTAAAAATTAGTTGTTAGTGCAGGGGACTAAGCTCACTGTTTGTGATTCGACAAATCGTATCGATAAAAGTTTGTGAATTTCACTAGAGATGTATTGTGGATTGATACTCAACGGATAATGTCGCTCGTATAGCTGTACAATGTTCGGGGTTCAAGGTAACATTTCCAAAACATTTTGAAACATTATTTTTTAAATACAGCTTTGAGTTGAGTTGATGCGGCTGCTGGTCAAAAACCCCAGCACACTTAGGCCACTAGGCCCAACCTTCTCAAATGATCGAAACATTTCGTGTGCCTTATATAGGCAACGAAATTTCCAATGCCCACTGAGGCCCACTCAGCAAGACAGTCAATGAAGTGTTTCCCAAGAAACTTGTGTCGCGCGGATGTCAAGGCTGGACAGTGGCAGAGGTAGTGCTCGATGGTCTTCTCCTCTTCCTCGTCCCTACAGCCGCCCAGAAATCGTTAAAATAAATACCCATCCTAATCCCGTGAAGCTTCCTTGGTGAATGCCAGTTTAAGCATGTACTTGGGGTGGATAGAGGTAAACCAGCGTCATGCGCGTGTTTTGTCGTAGATAGAAGGATTCCTTCTCGTGCAAGTTTGTCTGCCATGCAATTGCCTGGGATGTCCCTTGTGTCCAGGTGCCCAGACCACGGCAGTACTGTACTTCGTTGAGAATTTGTTGAGAGTAGTTCCAAAATATGTGTACCCTTTCCTCATTTCCCTTATTCTTTTTTTTTTAATTCAATCTTTCCGAATTCTGCATTAAAGAAAAAAATTGAAGATAACTTATCAACGGGACTTGTTTTCTTTTTTTGTTTTTATAGATATCAAAGTCGGCTAGAAAGTAAGGCCCCAATAACCCAAATATATACATACCTATGTACATGTGCATAAGTATTGTATAATATTTTTAAGAACGGTGAATTCTATTTAAAATGTTTCGTTTATAAAATAAATGAAATTGAATAATCGATGATGATGATAATCTCCCTATTTCGCCTTGAATCACGCGTTTTGGTAATTTATCCATAGGTGAATGAAGAACCTTCAGCTTATCATCGCCATGTGAGATCATCTTCTCCTATATCTCAAAAAAAAAAAGGATCCTCATAAAAATACATGTGCCGTTCGCAGGCAGCTTAGTACAAACTGTAGGGACCTCCATTTATTGAAAAACATCAAGACGCAATACAATAAATTGGAGGAGAAGTTCGGCGGTTACAAATATATATATGTGAATTTCCCTATGGATGGATAATTTTTAGTCAAAAAAAAAAATTATAGTAAATAAAATATTGCTATAAAGGTAGCAAGCAAAAATTACAAAAATAATTATGAAATCCGAATGGAGTTTTATAAACCATCGATCAAGTGAAACTGATAATAATTTCAATGGCAAAGATGGCGTCATTCGGTCTATTAACTTGGACGGAAAACAGGTTACTTTATTTTTCTGTTTCTTTCAGTATGCAGAAATTACATAAGAAAATAATTATTGGCAAACACTGTTGTTAATAAAATTATTAAATATTATAAATACATGCAAACATAGAATTGGCGCCTAGTATCCGCTGAAGCTATTTAGGCTTCCTTCAATGGGTTCTTTTGTTTTTCAATGTTTTTCAAACAAACAGAGGCACCTACAACTTAATCAAAGCCGCATATGAACGCCTGATGAATTTTCATGAGGAGTTTTTATTTCATGTAAAAAATACATTCGGAGGTGTTTACATTCTTTTCCTAGAGGCAACCGCAATTAGAAAAAATTATTTTATTACTTTGAATGTAGGTCTGGCCAGGAATCAAGCCCGTGACTCTCAGCATGGTACTATTGTACGCATTGAGTAATTTGTCCGAGAATTGAAAACTCTTAAGTAATGTTTAAAAAAGTTAAATTTAATTAAAGGCTCAGCAACGCAAGCCTGCTTTTCTAGTTTAAAATCAAATTTAACTAAGTAAAAAATTTTTCATTCCATTGCATTAGAAAATCAATTCGAAATCTTAATTAAACTATAAATTGTCAAAAAAAAAAAAACTTTGTTAAAACATTTTCATAATTTTTTATAGAGAAAGCAGTTGACCTGATAGATAATGTATATATTTTTTTATAATTTTAAAAAGAAAGAATTCATGAACCAAAAAAATGTGTCATTAATAATAATTTGTAAAAAAAATTAAAAATTATGACAAAATCAAAGAATTTGTGAATTCCTTAATTGATTTCACACAACCAATGTTTTTATTATTGTTATTGTTGATTCAAGGCTTATCAAATGTGACGCTGTTCGGTTTAATTTACATCTACGATTATTTACTTTGAAAAGTGAAATATCAAGATAATGGTTAGTTAATTTAAGTATTATTTATTGACCGCACATCATTGTCAACTTGTTTTTTTTTTATTGAGGAAACGTGTAAACTCAGCACCTTTGAAAGACCTCTCTACTTACATATATGTATATTTATTTTGTTTGAAATAAAACATTTAATAATGAAATGAAAGAATTAATAACATAACTCTTAACCGCCTCACAAGCGACAATGCGCCTTTACTTATGTATTGGCACAATGCCGCGAATTCGGCGCCCATAACAATTTTACTGTTTTTAATATTATTGCTATATATCCGTTCCAAAAGAATTGAAAATCAAGAGCTGACCTTTTAATATTGTGACTCGCACTTAGTATCTCTTGCAAAGAGCCATTGAATGTAAAGTAGGTTAG